ACCCAATTCCAGTGTTGTAAAACATAAAATTATGAAAATGAAGAGATAAATATAAAAAAGGCAAAATATGCAGAAAAGGCAGAAAAAGGCAATATAGTCAAAAAAGGCAAAATTAAAATTTCTATTTTTAATCAAAGAAGACATCAAAAGTGTGATTCTTTAATTTGTTCACAGATGATGCTTTAATTTGTTTACAGATACGACAAAATAGGCAAATGACTTAAAATCCTAACCCTGATGATTATTAATTCAAGCATGTTTTTTTGGATTATCGTTTAATGATTAAATACCAATATTAGCACCTTTTCAATGATTAATCAACAATTGTTAATCAATTCATTAATTTTAATTACATGATTAGTTTGTTTTTTTGATCATTTTCAATTATTTTAGACTTTGTTTAATTACACGATTAATTGATTTCAATTATCAATCAACAAGCCAAAATATAGACAAAAATTAAGAATATTTAATAACTGCATGAATTCTTTATATATTTTATTCTTATCCAAATCACAAATTTAAAGCGTTAATTATTACTTTTATAAAATTTTAAAAACAAAGGACTAAAATGTGCAAAGCTAATGAATTTAATTTAATTTAATGAAAGCTTCTATTTTTATTTAAGTTCACTCGAAAATTAGCAAATGTGTTTATTTTATTTTTAACTAAAATGTGTTTTTGCATATTTAATAATATTGAAAAATATAAAAAATATAGTATTTATTGTACCTGAAAGCTTTTACTTTTAATAACACTTAATGAAAAATGCATTTAAATTTATGTTCGAAAGTTAGAAATATTTATGTATTTATTTTTCCTTTTATTTAATACTCAAAAAATTTAACACTAATTATTGGAAAATCTATGGCTGCTAAATAAAAATGTGTAATATATTAAAGTGTACTTAATTAAATTTTTTTATTGTACATTCATGAATTCATCTTATTTTTTGACTCCCAAAGTAGTGGTTTCGGTAGTTCTGTCTATTTTGAACTAGTATTAGACTGGTATATTTCTGACCGAAATCTGACTATTGCCATCTCGAAGGACGTCCCCATGTTAAAAATACCAGTTAATTGCATGGAAAACAGATAGTTGGCTGACCAGTTGGACATGCGGTTCATACTAGGTTGTGAGGTGTCATTTAGCCCAACTTAAAAGATAGGGTAGCTTTTATCCGGATTAGACAAAGGGACGTGGCACCTCCCATACAAACGGAATGTTTCATACTGCATACCTCTGGAAGTATTTGTGGTAGAGTACTGGAACTTGGTAGGGATATATATGTAATCAATACTATACTCATGGAAAAAATGTGAGTTCTTGGAAAAGGGTCCGTGGCACCTGCCATACAGACTGCATTTTTTATACTACCACCTGTTAAAAATTAACTTCAATTCAAAGCATTTTATGTTAAAGGAATTATTACAAAATGGATGTCAAACGAGTCGTTATATCGCAGATAATGGTGACTCTTAGGAAAAAAGTGTCATAGCGGGTTTTAGAGATAATTGCATGAGCTACGCTTTTCTCTAACCTACTTTTATGATAAACCTTACGGTTTAGCTGAAAAAATGTAAAAATCAATTTATGTGACCTTTGACCTTGAATAATTTTTTTTACAGATCTGAGATCGATAAGGACTTTTCACATTTCATTTATAATGACGTTCGAAACATTCGTACCAATTTTCAGCATTATGCGAGTTTCTGCCACCTTGAAAATTTAACTTAATAGAGAACAATTTTGAAAATATGGTTTAAATAGAGTAGCATAGAGTGCAGTAGCAAGTACAGGTTAGGTTGGGTTAAGTTAACGCCACAAGCCGATTACGAAATTTCGAATGCCGCTAAGTTCGATGCCTTAGACCTCAGAATGCGAGCCAATCTGATTCCATCTTAGCCTCGCGAAGGTTAAACAGTCTAAAAGAAAGTGTGAAGATGATTCCACTTCATCTTCCTCTTGACAGCTGATACAAAAGGATCAGTCGAATTTCGCACAATAGCCTGTCAGAACCCCCACCCCAAGTCCTTGAGTGGTAACGTTTGCTGCAGCAAAAGGACCCGGTTTCCCTTAGTCTAATAGCAGTTCGTGCTGCGACAATTCTGTCTGCAATATCCGCAGAAAATCCCTAAGGGAAACATGAGAGCCTTTTCCGGCCTTCGAGATGAACGCAACACTGACTACCCTCCAAGCCTTGGGGATGTACCCGGTCCTCGGGCAGTTCGCGTAAATAGGATCCAACCAATTGCAGAGCCCTTTTCAGCGTGCAGGTATGATGCCATTGGTCCCCGGCGACTTTAATGGTGTGAACGAATTTATCGCCCAGGCCATGTGACGATCGTCCAGAAGCTGGGGGGAGATTCTGTAACCAGTAGGTGACAATTTTCGAATCGTTATCGCACTTTTTGAGACAAAAAAATTTATATCATGCATCAAAAAGTGCGATAGCGATCGGAAAATTGTCGATAACTGATTACAGAATCTCCCTCCTGAAGTACAAAATATCGCAAAGAAGTACATTTGACTGTACTTCGAAGTACGAAGAACAAGACCGAAAAAAGAAGTACTGTACTTCTGAAAGAAGTACGGTTGGCCACATTAGTTGTAATGTACTTCAATTGGGTTGACAAGTGATCATTTATGAGAATAAAATTGTGCTCCTATGTCGAAAAAAAATTTTTTTTAATCATGGAAAAAATGTGTGTTCTTGGAAAAGGGTCCGTGGCACCTGCCGTACAGACTGAATTTTTTATACTACCACCTGTTAAAAAATTAATTTCAATTCAAAGTATTTTATGTCAAATCGAATTATTATAAAATGGATGTCGAACGAGTCCTTATATCGCAGAAATGGTGACTCTTAGGAAAAAAGTGTCATTACAAAATGGATGTCGATCGAGTCGTTATATCGCATAAATGGTGACTCTTAGGAAAAAAAGTGTCGTAACGGGTTTTAGAGATAACTACATGAGCTATACGTTTGTCTAATCTATTTTTATGATAAACCTTACAGTTTAGCTGAAAAATTGTAAAAATCAATTTATGTGATCTAATTAATAATATGAATGTGAATAATTTTTTTTACATATCTGAGATCGTTAGGACTTTTCATATTTCATTTATAATGGCGTTCGTAACATTCGTACCAATTTTCAGCATTATGCGAGTTACTGCAACCTTGAAAAATTAACTTGACCGGGCTAATAGAAAACAATTTTAAAAATCTTATTACATTAAACGAGCAATTCTTGTACATATATATATCCCTAGAGTTCTCGGAAACCGCTCTAACGATTTTGATGAAATTTTGTACACTGATAATGTTTTGGATTTTAAGGTTATCTGAACAGGCATTAGGCCCTATTGCGAATTTCACGTGAACAAATATTCCCAAAAATTATAAAGCAAAACAAAAACAATTTTTCCCAATGTGTTTTTGTTTTTCCATGTTAAGTTATGGCAACAATTTATTCATATCAAATTGGCGATAGGGCTGATTATCTGCGAGAAGACTATTCGAAATTAGTTACACATTAATTAAAACATCATATTATCGGTATCAGATGGGAGATATTTTAAAGTTTCTTAATTCAAAAATGTTTTTAATAGCGTTGCCACCTATTTTAAATCGCATATTTATTTAATTTTTTGTTTAGAAAAAATAAGTAAAATATTACTATTCATGGGTACCAAGAGAAGGTTCCTCAACAATGCTTTCCCTATATACAAAATATTATCTCTTAGGATAATAGTGTAAGGTTGCCACTTATTTTCGATTCTACACAATTTATCTAAAACATCGCAATATGGATATCCAATGAAAGGTATTGTTGAGAGCTTTGGTCAGAAAATATTTTCCATCAGGGTTGCCACGTTTCTATGTAATACAAATTTTTATTTTGTTAATTTCAATCAACATTTTTTTATGTATACACAGTACATATACGCTCAAGATATGTACCATTCATTCCAGTGTATTTCGGAATAGGGTTGCCACATAAATTTGAGAGTAAGGAATTTACTTAATAGATATCGAAATCCTATTTTTTTTGTTTATTTCCAAAAATTTTTTTCTAAGCTATCCAAATCTTTAAAACTTTAAAAAGTATATGGGTCATGCCATACAATATTTACACCTCAATATTTTTTTTGGGGTGAAATATATTTTTTTACATTCTTTGTCGAAAAAAGAAGACACCTATTTTTATATTTCGTCATGATATTCGAAAATCACGAAAAAACTCCCGAAATTTTGAACTCACGGAGAAGTATCTTTTTTTAATTGTTTGCAGTTAATAAACTATTCATGAGAGTGTGAGATAGATTAAAATAATGAAATTTTTGCTTTAAAAAGTCGAATTTTTTATTTTATTTTTTTTATTAACTTCATCATGTTTGATTTTTATTTTTTTCAACCTGAATAGTTGTCAAACTATTTAATATGGCCAAAAAATAAAAATTAATAATTAAATTAAATAATAATTTTTTTTACTAAAATTGCAATAATCTATTAAAGTATTAGTCCTACATAATTTGGTATATGGACCTTCTGTAGAGAATCGAAGTTAGCTAAGGTATTTTTTTTTTTAGTACTTGAACTTTGATGGAATTGGGCGAGTCTAAGATATTGACCAAAAATTTTCACATTGCACACAGATATTTTTTAGAGCATAATGAACGATATTTTTGCTATTAGCAATCAAAATTCTAAAAAAGCGGATTTTCGGCCAACGCTATTAAACATCATTATCGACGATTTCGACATCAAGCATATAACATGTGATCGATAAAGCAGTCGTTGTATTTAACCGGAGCTTCTACCTCCGATCAGAGATTGAACAACCGGCCCTAAATGTTAAACCCAGCCCTGGCAACAGAAAATTATAGAATAGTTGTCTAGTAGGTACATACGTATAAATTACATTTTATTGTGCTAGAACCTGAGAAAGTCATCATTAATGAAGTTAGCTTGAAAAGATGTATGAATATCTTACCTTGCGGTAAAACCTTGCGCCGGTCACTTTATGAAACCCTTTTTTATAAACGGCTTGATAATCATCTGGATGTGAAAATTTGAATAGGATTCCTGTAGCAGTTTTCGTCAGACTGAAACATCCTTTAAAGTTCATTTTCTCACATATGAGAGCGGCACGCTCCATGGACAATTCATGTAAAGGTGTCAGTAGAAATGCTCCTTCAAATATTGCAAAAAAATATAAAATAATAAAGTCAACCACAAAAGTCTAGGTACAGAGAATTTTTCGCAATGTATGCAAAGTTTTTATAAATTTGTTCACTGATTTTTTATAAATTATAGTTCATAATAATAATAATAGATTGGCGTTTACACAATATGTATGTTAGTGGTAGTGGCCCGATTTGTAGCGGGCGCCTTAATGTTGCCCCACAAAGGGGAGGGACCTACAGTTTTACGCTGACTCCGAACAGCGATTGTATTTTTATGAGTTGTTTTTTTTTATGGCTGAATACCCTCGGAGATTTCCCATTTCTGCCGAAGGGCAACCGCTATTAGGTCACTTTTTTGTTTTTTTTTGTTACTTTGTTTTTTACTTTTTGATTTTGGTCGTAAACTGGGATCGAACCCAGACCCTGCGGAATGGTATGCATTTCAAGCAGAGACCCTTCGGCATTTGCTTATCCCTACATTATCCTAAAAGCAAATAAAAATGTGGCCGGACTGTTTTAGTCTTTATCAGGGTTGTTGCGAATATTCGCATTCGCATTCGCAACCACGGAGCTTCGGCATTCATTTTAACATTCGCTTTCGAATTCGAATGCGAATATTTCGCAAGTGCACTAATAAAACGTATATCTGGCAAACAAAATGACAAACTGTGGCCAATAGTTTTTGCCTATGAAGATGCTACGTTAAAACTGTCCCCCACGTCCCCCTTCTTTTGTAATTTAAAGTCTAAGATTTGCGCGTTAAAAGATAACCTTTAATTAGGTAAGAATTAGAGATGAGCACGGGACTAAATATTTAATCCCGATCCCGCCCATCCGGAAATTCGATTTTTAAGTCCCGAACCCGCCCATCCCGACGTCTTTCAGAATTGTACCGCGGGTCCCGTGGGTCCCGATATCTATCTCTAAAGCAGGCTGCAAACGGACAACAAATTGAAACCAGAGGCATAACTATTATAAGAGAAAAGAATACAAGTCAATCAATAATCATTATATTAAGATAAATATTTTTCGAGTAGTTTATAATTATTATTCAAGGACTTTTCAGGATTAGTTGTGGACCAGTTCGGGGCTAGGTGGGGATCAGTTCGGGAGTAGGTGGGGAGTAGTTTGGGAACAGTTGGAGCTTGGTTTGGCACCCGTTCGGGTCTATGTACAAAACTTTTACGCACTCATAATTATTATCAAAAGGCTTTTATAATATAAGTCTCAAAATAAAAGTCTTTGAAGACTTAAAAATAATTATCTCGCTGATAATTATTATAAAAAGACTTCTATTATATAAGTCTTAAAATAATAGTTATGAATGACTTAAAAAAGTTTTCTCACACATAATTATTATCAAAAGACTTTTATAATTCTTACGAAAATTTTGATGACTTTTTTAAAACTCCACCATGGAATAATTATTATTCTGGGTCTCTGATTGAAACGATCGGTTGAGATTTCAACGTGTGTGGCGAGGTTTGCAAACCGATCGAAGGTTGACAAAAATGTTCATGTCTTTCAAATTAATTTTAAATAATAAAAATAATAATGAAAGATCTGGCATCTTCCTATTATGTTTTTCTTTTTCGTCTCAATAAAACATTGAAAGAGCATATTTCAAACATCGTTTTTAAGGAAGATTTTGTGAATTTGCGGGGGTTGCGGTTTTATCGGGAGTGTCGGGAAAGGATTTTGGTCCCGTCCCGCCCGCTATATTTTTGCAGATCTTCCCGATACCGCCCATCCCGGCCAATTTTTAATCAGTACCGTGGGTCCCGCGGGTCCCGCTATCCCGCGCCCATCTCTAGTAAGAACTATGTAACTATGGAATATTATTTGTTTTTCCTCTACTTTTTCTTAGATAAGTGTAATTATTTTTTTCATAAAACGGCTTATTATGATTAATTTCCGTGCTTTCTTTTATTATTTAGCAGAAAAACAGACCAAATAATTTTGACCGGTTTTATTATGCTGTAGCATTTAACGTTGTAAGCTTTATCGAGCGGATGTAGGGTGCACTCAGCAGAGCACGCGCTTGTACCGGCTCAGCATCGTTGGCTTGGGTGGGGTTTATGTTGACTGCTGGGTGTATGCTCGAGTTGCGCTACCAAAATAAAAAAAAATTAAAAAAAGATCGCGTGCTGGTTTAGCTGAGGGGGGAATAGGGGTAATGAATACTGGATTACGAGAGGAAGAGGGGCTACGCACTGAAGATTGCTGATAGGAAAGAAGACAGGAAAGAAGGAACTAGCTGATAACCCTTACCATGGCTGACCAGTCGGTTGTGTCGATGTTGCGAGATGGGGGAGCAACATCAGAAACGCCCCCCCTACCATGATCACTCTTTACCTAGCACAAGTTTTCAAGGTGATCCCTTCAACCAAACTAACGTCAGCGGGTGACGTCCATATCCACAGTGGATCAATGCATGGCCCCGTTTTTAAGAACTTAACTCATGTTTAGTTTTCACACAACATTAACTACACTAAACTCCAATTTTATTTCAAGACCTAGGGGTATAACTACAATAGGTATGAAAATGCTTAAATTTCAATTTGAGCACTTATAAAAATTAATATATATACACAAAAGCAGAGAGATTAAGACTCAGGTGGAGGAGCTCGTGCTAAAAGTAAAATTAATTATTATGTACGTGTGATGGATGCTTATAAATATAAGTACGTGCTTATGTATGTATGTAAATTTATACTCGTAAACTAATTTAGTAAATCTTGGGCTAACGTTAGTTACAAAGAAAAATTCAATTATTGGATATAACTACATATACATTTAGGCGGAAGGCAACGAGAGATCTACAATTTATTTATTTAATTCTCCTTTTTTTTGTACTTCACTTTAAGTCAAAGAGCCAACCGATTAAAAGGAGACGCGGCAATATAAGTATTTGCGCGAGTTTCTGAGTACCTTTCGATTTGTACTATAAAAATTATTGGAACTCTGCACACATCAAAACCCAAACAGAACCCACAAAACCCAAAATTATGCTCACTACTATTCACTTTGCCGATACGTATTACTAAGAAAATATATAAAAATTTAAGAGATCACTTACATCATAGCTCCCACGACGAAAGATCTTTCGATGCGCGTGTTGATATGTGGTGATGCTGAAACTTGTATGTTATGAGTGTTGCTGGTTTCGGTTAAGTGAATATATATAATTTTGGGATATTTTTGACTGCATGCAGAATTATTCTCCCTTTTTCTTGTACAACAAATTTGGACGCGTTTAACGCATTGTTCGTGCATTCAGAACTCTTTGTGTACTTAACTAAAACCAAAGTTATTTTTTTTCTAACTTTCATACATATATGTACTTATGTGGTAATTTAGTTCTGCCACGCAGCTCCCGACACTCTGAGCACAAAACTAGTCAATTATTCTTATACGGCTGAAGGCCTCACTAATGAGTATCGCGGGTTATATTTTCCCAATTTTCCAATTTTATTATATTTTCCCCTGGGGGGGAGTCTTAGCGAAGCGGCAGACAAACGCACAAAGTGTGGGGGGGGAGGGGGGTATTAGCACCACTATACGAGCACCCGTGGACGATTGCTGGCCCACTGACACCAGCACTACGGCGCAGGGGAAGTGAAGAAGAACAGCTTTTTGGCCAATCCCTGTATTTCCAATTTTACACAGCCTCTGAGTGGCCTCGGTGTGGATTTTTCGTTAGCTTTGGAGCGTTAATTGCGTGCCAAATCTACACACGGATACAACAACAAACAGGAATACTAAGAAAATACGCCGAATTGTGAGATGTGCAAGAGAGACTTACCCTATAAGAGATGGGACCCAAATGGGATACAATTGGTGTCCGAACCCAAGGCAGCTCTACTCTACTTTTCCTCGTACATACGATAAAGGGGATGGGTGGCAACTTTATACGCAAAATGAAATGCGGTTTTCTCGTAGCTGGTGGCTACTTTGGGCCAAAGAAATTCCTAGAATTCATGCCCTTAGCGCAATCAAAAAAAACACATTTTTATTGCTGCAATCCGTACTTACTTTTTCTCGGTATTGAGCGCAATTCAGCCCAGGTGTGTTGAGAAATAGTTTTTGTACAATATTTCCGAATAAAACTAGCGCTTGAAAACTTTAATAAATTTCCACGTGTTAATACTTCACCTTGGGAATATCTGGGCGCCGTAGTAAGCGTAAGCGTGCACTACCGATCTGATTGAAATCCACGAGAAAAAGGTTGAAGTTAATCGGTACTTCAAAAAGGAAACCTCCTTTTGGCGGAAACCTTCCTCTCCCAAGTTGACAAAAGAAAAATACAAAGCAATAAACGTCCTCTTAAAGCAAATTCTCCACTGAAGTTTAACTCTTAATAATAGATTGGCGCTTACACATATGTTAGTGTTTGGCCGAGCTTCTCCTCCGATTTGTGGCGTGCGCCTTGATGTTGTCACACAAAGCGGAGGGACCTACAGTTTTACGCCGACTCCGAACGGCGATTGTATTTTTATGAGAAGCTGTTTTTCATGGCAGAAATATACTCGGAAGTTTGCCATTGCCTGCCGAGGGACGACCGCTGTTAAGAAAAAACCTTTTTTTCTATATTTTTGCGATGTTGCTTTGACCAGGGTTTGAACCCAGGCATTGTGGAGTGGAAGCGCGCACTGCTTACCACTACACCACAGCGGCCGAAGTTTAACTCTTGCCACAAGAAAAAAACGAACGATAGGTGGCGACACCAACTGCCTGAAAATATCAGAATGAAATGGTGTTGCCAGCTTATGGATTCGACTTCCATTTCTAGTGTACGTTATCTGTGTAGGGCGTCAAGCGGCACTACAAGTCCCCCCCGCCAAGATCACACTTTACGTGGAAGCAACCAGCAAGGGTGATCAACGATTGGAGCGAACATTTCTCTAATAATAAGAAACTATTGCTTTATATCCTTGGCGTGAAATTTACCAACAGGGCGCCCTTGCAAATCCTCAAGCTCATAGTAACAATTGCCAAGTTTATGTT